AAAGTCAAAACGTTTCATTTATTTAAACACGGAGGGAGTAGTACTGGGAGTAGTACTTTAAAATTACCCTCACTCTATTCCTTCAAGATCTTCTTAGATAGTAGATATTGTAGATCAGATACCATTATTCCAAGGAATAGAGGGAGTATGGTGGACTCCTTGTACCTTTTGGGTTTTGGGATAGGATAGTGAAAGTGGATTAGAGTTGATAGTCCAAATTAGGTTTCATGTAGTGAGGCAAGCAAGAGTTAGGGGGAGTAAAGCTACCAAATGTGGGTGCAACTAAAGTCAGAGGCTTCATGGAATGGAAAGAAGATCTTTGTGGAACATGAGTGATACCCAAAGGGAACATATAGTATGCATGAGGCCATGTAATTTGCTTTCACTCTGTAATTTTTACTTCCTCTGCTCCAAATTAATTGACATGTATTCCTTTTTTGGGAGGTTTCTTTTTTGCTGACATGGTATTTTCGGCAAGTTTTGTATGGTAAAATTTCAGTATCACCCTCACTCCTTAACCCCTCTTTCTCACAGAGTCACAGCCATTATCATGGCTTATTTCCTCTCTCTCTCTTCCCTCATAGACACAATTACCCAATTTCTATTTCCTTCCATCTCCACCGGATTTCTATCTATTCTCTCTGCACCTGACTTCCCTCTTCCCCTCGTCACCGATATTCTCTCTCTTCTTTTTTGAAGAAGCATTTTCTGGTGGTTAGGGCGAAAATTTAGATCGAGGAGACCGAAAGCACCCAATCTTTTCCAAAACTTGGGACCAAAGTGACGCATCTTTGAATTCTCTACCTGTGCCACCGCTGTCGTTTCTTCCACTTCCAACATAGAGAATAAAAGCTCATCAAGGCTTTGAGCATCAAAGCCTATAATTATTGAATAGAGCCCTTTACAAACACAATGTGTGCGTGAGTTTTTATTTTTTTATTTTCATTTTGGCATGATCAATAGCAAAATTTACTGCCCAAAAATACCCTAACCAAAAATCTAAGATGATGATAAAAAATCATGTACTTGTATCCCTTCCTTTTAAAAAGTTTGAGATAACTCTTATGAATAGTGTTGGGAAATGGTTATTTGCTTATTTGCCCAGTTGATTGCCTCTTTGGTTACTTTGGAGCAGATTATGTTAGGTCAAGAGAGTGCGGAAAGGGTTGTACACTGTTCGTTGAAAATATGAGTTTTTTTTGTATTGATTAATAAAAAACTTTAGTAGTTGTGCTCATAATTGTTTGTTATTCAATTTTTTTAAGGTTATAGAGAACCAACTGAAAAGTACTTCATTAAATATAGAAAATTCCTCCTTTCCCTGTTCAAGTGGCTATGGCATTCAAAGATTACTGTATTGACTTTGGTGTGGTGATTTTGTTACCACGGATATGGCCTTCTGTATTTACTGGTAGTCTGACCTTGTGAGTTGTAATTGGTGTTGTCAGTTGGAGCTTTACTTTTCACAAAACATGCACTTTTGACCCCCTCTGTCGATTCAGCCTGTATTCCTCATGCATATTGATGCTTTTAAAACAGTCATACACTCATACCTAGACATGGTTTGTGATATTGTTCTTTATTATGCTATCTTAAGCCTGGACTAATTTTACTTTAAACCTTAGCATTCTTTTTGAGTGATGATTTTGGATACTACTGATAGTTGGTTGGGCTCATTGTAAAAATTATTATGCTGGAGAAACCAGAAATTCGGAAAGTGACAACTATTTTTCGGGGTTTGCGCTACTTATTTCTGGCATTGTTTATTTCCTCTGGTCCGTGGTCTCTGGGCTGTGACTGTGTGAGAACTGAAAAGTCCTAGGCTCTACTGAAGAATGAAAATTTGCCCCCTTTACTCTCCATATTGCTTCTTCTCCAGAATCAAGGAGTTTTATTCCTGCTGGTCTTACAACTCAATTTCTCCTAATATGTAATTTGTTACCTGATGAAATAGCCGAATCTCATTTTTGGCTCATTGCTCTGGCCTGGGCAGTGACTGAGTGAGAAGTCCCTAGGTTGTGATGATTAAACTGAGTGGCGGAATTGTCATGCAATTTTTGCTAATATTTATTTACGTACCTTGGGTAACAGCTGTTGAATCGCAATCTGTATCTTTCAGCTCATTGCTCTATTGTAATTGTAATTATAGTGAAAGGTTTATATAATGCAGAGTACTTCTTTGACTGAATGTTATTGATTGCTCCATGCTGTATCCTAATCTTATTAATTAATGGTGTATGCTTGTTTGCATTTCAGTTGCAACAACAGCTATCTGCAGTCTCCAGTCAAGAAGATGAAGACAGTATCGAAGTGGATACTTGAGGAAGCAACGTTAGTTTCTTGTACAGTGCGAGTATAGTGTATATTCAGGTAATAGGTCTTGAGCTCACAAACCTATCCTTTGGCATGCTACAAGAGTAACTCAAGCTGGTGCCTTGTTTTGGTGAATATAAAGAGAAAATAGCTGCCGGTCCTCCTTTCTGGGTTTGGTTTCCATCCTTAGTTTTACAAGTATTGTATCCGAGCTGCTTTTTTGCAGATCACTTGGCTTGGAAAAAGAATAATGACGACGACAAATGATGATTACTAAAATTGTTTTCTTGATTTATTTGTTCAAGGGATCTACAAGAAGCTGATTCTGTTGAGTCTCAGTCTGAGAGGAGTGTGTATGTATAGGCTGTTTCAAATACTCGGGGGTTGGTATTGATTTGTATTTTATTAAAATTCTATTTATTTTTTCTTCAATGGTTTGAGTAGAGCACCATATTGAATGCCTAGGAAATTAGAATAAGTTTTATGTGTATCTTATTTTCTATGGAAATTCTACCTACACCATTGTAGTTTCGACAATTCTATTTGGTACCAGAGAGAGAGAGCCAGATACCTCCTTCCAATTTAACATTCCAGTAACTTTTCAAATAAGTGCAAAGTTGGAATGACAAACCGCCACCACTACCCTCAGTGGCAGGCTGGCAGCCACCATACCGCTTTTTGCTACTCCCTTAAAGCTTTATCCTCACCTCAAAAAGCTGTGCAAAACCCTTTTTCTTCCACCATTGTTCAACTCTACCCAAACAAAAGTCCATTTTTCCCTGCAAATCCATTTTCCAAATTAACACTGCATAGCCTCCCTATCGTAACAAATTTCCCCTCTACTCAATCCTAAGAAGCAGGTTCTGTATGTTAATGGTGGGTACCGGTGGTTCCTGCTGTTCTTCCATTGATGTTTGTTGGCTTCTTGGTATATAGGTATAAGCTTTTGAGATTAGTCTTTTGGGAATTGTGTAATGGTCTTTACTTTCAAGACTTTTTGACTGCTTCCATGGTTATCAACTTCTATGTTCCTCATCTGTAAGACATTAATCTTGCACATTCAGAATGTCGTTTGCAAAAAAGTATATAAATTTGGCGATTAAAAGTAGCCTCTTGGTTTGCAACTTTGCACTAGGGCCAAAGCAAGGCAATAAAAGGCACAGAAAGGTCAAGCCAAGGCATAACATCTTAGTACATGATTAGCGAGGGGTGAGGTAAGGCAATGAGATGGTTTGGGTTACCAAGTAGGTCCTTAGGGAAATCCAGAAAGTAGCTTGATGCCTAACCTTGATTAAAATGAAAATGGTCTTTAGATGCTAAATTTGAAGGTTGTAATACGTATTCGAACCATTTTTGAGATTCAGACAAAGTGTAAAAGACTCAATTGGTGGTAGGATATACTTTGTAGGGTCATTTAATGTTGTTTGATACCATATGTAGTCGGCAATAGTTCCATAACGACTTGGGGTAGCTTTAATTTAATGAAAGGAGGCGTGTATATTAGTTGATAAATTTTTAAGGCAAAGAGGATGTTTTTAACCGCCTAAATGACCTTATATGTTCTTGTGGGGTGGATGAGAACTGAGAAGCACCTCGTTCTTTTTCCTTTTTGAGCTTGAAAAAATCGAAAATTAACAAAACTAAATGGTGTAATCCACACATTCAAGTCAATTTCGAAAAAAATTCCAAAGTTAAAGTGAATAAAGGGATTGTCCATCGAGATCGTGAAAGTTTATTTGAAATCGTAAAATAGCTATCGATATATGTATACAATCCCGGTATGAGTTTGGTTCAATGATATTTCTTTTTGTTCCTTTAATATGCAGGAAGACACTAATGTAATTGTTATCTTAGAAAAAAGTAAATATTTTGCTAAAGGTAAAGAAGGATTTAGTATGAATTTTATATATATATTAGAACATGATAGTTATAATTTCTGTGATAATTCGAGGCATCACCCGAGTTCAAAACTAGTTTATATTTAAAATACTAGCCCTGTGCCATTGCCTAACCTGCCGTGAGTCAACTCAAACTCCATCTGGTTACTTGATTTGAGACCTATAGTGCCATGCACAATTTCACGATATTATTTAATCATTATAATTCTATTTTATTTTCTTTCTCATTTTAGTTGTCAACTTTCCTTTATTGGATATCACAAAATACAATATTTGTTTACAAAACAACAATATGATAATTTAATATATTAACCCCACTATCTTTTCTTATAATTTTTTAATATCCCAACTACCTCAAGTCAATTAAATTGCCTCAAATTATATTCCGGCCGGTTAAAGTATCTATTAACTATTACTAAAACCAAATGTTACTGACGTCATCACTGTCCACATGTCACTCACATAATAATTTTTTTCCCGCCTAAATGCAAGGATGATGTCATCTTTTTTTTTTTTGAGCTATCATATTTAACAAGTTTTAAATTTTAATATTTGAAACTTCTACATTACAAGTACAACCTATCAATTTATCTTTAAACAAATGAAATAATTATAAATAGCACACTAATAAATGAAATCCTACATTGAAATATATATTAGGCGACGTTGAACAGCTATTATATCATAATTTTGATGAAAATCTAAAACTATATAATTAAAAATATTTTTGTATAAGGTGCATAATTCTTATTTATATTTATCCTACAAATTATAAAAATAGATTTTATATAAATTGTGCATCACACAGATTCTCACCTAATTACACTAATATACACCGGATCTAACACTAATAAAGTAAGTCAAAACGTATCAACAAATTGTCCAATTTATAATGCAAAATATTTTGTTTTCCAAAAAAATTAAAAATTAAGAACTCAATTTCTCCGGCAACCATCGAAAATGAAATATGAATATAGAACCTTCCTCAGCATCCTAGGCTGCTCCACACTCCAAACAAATGATCCCTTTCATCCTCACTCTCTCTCCTCCTTCTTCACTTTTTCTCTCTACTTCCTTTCTTCCTCCTTCCTCTCTTCCTAAACTCAACTATGGCGGAATTTTGCGAAATCAGGTACTTATTTCTTCAATCTCCATTAACACTTTTTACAGAAATATTGCCAACTTTTAAAATAGATTTTCTTTCTTGCAGAAGAAGAAGCGGAAACTTCTGCAGCTGAGAAGAAGAGGAATATGTAGGGCTGAACTACAGCAAGATGCACCTTTTGCAATTGCTCTCGGCGCGTGTGTGTTGAATTCATTGCTATTTTCTGACACCGCCGTTTCTTCGCCGGAGGATGAAGACGCCGCCGTCAGCTCCACCGATGCTAGGTTTACTGTTATGACTATTATTGGTTTCATCCCTTACTTCAATTGGTTGGTAAGCTCTTATTATTTTATTTTATTTTTATTTTTATTTTTTTGTGTAATTTTCTGCCAATTTTGAGAGCTTTATTGTTCATTTTAATGGCTGATAATGTGAAATTGAATGTTGATAGAGTTGGATTTTTGCGTTGATGGATACGGGAAAGCGGCGATATGCTGTTTATGCACTTGTATATTTAGCCCCTTACTTGAGGTTTGTTTCCTCACTTGGTATTTGAATTAGTGCAGCTCGTTCGCTTTTTAATTGCTTGTTCCGAATTTAGTTGTCATGTTACTAGTTCATACTTCCTCTACCACTATTTGTCAACGACTCAACGTGTTGATTTTGGATAGAGGGAAAAATAAAAGTATTGGATCTTTCATATTTGGCTTGGCTTTAAGAAATCATTTTCCCAACATTTTTATGAGCTTATTGTGTTATTGCTGTATTAACTTTGTAAGAAATGGTTATTTCATCATAGTTTACTAGTTTACTAATGAGCAGTAGTGGCAATGGTGTTAAACTATATTAGTTGTCCAGTTTACTTAGAACCTCATTAACAGTAATAGATCCACTTATAACTATGTTCTCCAAGGTAAAACTAGTCTCTCTGAAATTTTGCTTTGAAAACAATAGGTTAAAAGAATTATCTGGTGCAATTTTCTTAAACCGACCTCTTGCTTCATGAATGAGTTGTTATATTGGCCTATTTTCATCAAGGACAAGTGATGAAAAATTGTGAATGTTCTAATTTGATGATAACTTTGGAGTTTGTAGAATTGTTGCCGATGTAAATATATATGAAATTGGGATCTATACACCTTTATACACTTTAACTCCTGCTGTTCTGGATCTGTTGCAAACTTGGAATTGTGTCCCACAAGGCCAAAACAGTGTCCAGAATTTGTCCTATAGAACTTATGTGCTCTCATGCTATAAGCGGACTATCTAGTATCATTGACTAATATAGTGCTAATTGCATTCAGCATAGTTTGGTAATTTTGGATTCATGGTGATCCAAATGGAAAATTTCTGGGATTTATTGTGATTTCTCCCATATAATCAGACTGATTCTTGAACTTGATTATTAACCTAGTAATATCTCTTTCGATCGAGTTGACTGATTCTAAACTTTTTGAGGACCAAATATCAAAATGTAGTAAATATTGTGGCCATGATTGTTTATGCATTTCCTTATATTCTAGACCTTTGATTGTAAGTATATGGGACCTGTTAGCTTTGCGGTATTTGATACCTCATACATTCTTACAATTTAAATGGGCATGTGTTCTGATTATATAAATTTTCTCTTTGCAACTTAGCAGGACCAACCTCTCACTATCTCCAGAGGATAGTTGGCTGCCAATTGCAAGCATTGTTCTCTGTGTTATACATATACAGGTATGTGTGAGTGTGTGACTGTATAAGTGTAGTTAGTAACAGTTTCTTTTTCCTGTTGACCTATGTCAAAAATTCTCGCATATCTTTATTTATGCTTAGAATCCACAATAACAGCACTCTTATACAGCCCTTCCCACTCTTTCCATGTTGCATAGTTCTGTTTTGTAATTTGTATTTTCTGAATTCATCACCGGTTTATTGAGTGGGTACAGGAGTGTGCCCATATTGTAGTCACTTACCTTGAGTAGGAATGTTTTGGTTATAGCATTACTAGCATGATTATAATTTTTAAATTTCTTTACTTAAAGTACCAATATCTTCATTTCGCAGTTAGAAGCAAGTATCAGAAGTGGTGATCTGGATGGTTTCAACTTCTTTAATGAGGCAGCAAAGCATCGTGGTTTGGCCAAGAAACATGGTCATACTAAGCATCCAGAAGAAATGCAAGAGGAGGTAGCTACTGATATCATCACTCTCCAACCCTGAAGCTTTATTAATGGTGTTATTTTTTATTATATTGGGGGTCTCCAAAGTGACTTTTTTATAATTCTTAATGGTTATTCTTACTTCTGACATTTATGTTAGGCAAGAAGACAAGGAAACATGAAGTTACCATTGGGTCAGCAGTCTAGGGATGAGATTAGAAAATGGAGAGTCACTAGAAAGCCTTCCCAAGATATTGAACATGCGGGCAACGATGCTGGTGATCAAGATGATAGAATGCAACACTAAGAAAAAATGAATGATTAGGGATGACACATGGACTTCTTAAGAAAAATGGATGATTAAGGATAACATGCGGGCTTCTTCCATTAATAAATATGAGCAGGTGACCTGAAGACTGGCCGACTGAGTAGGTGCAAGCTCATGTACATTACGACATAAGAGTATAAGACTAAGAGAGTAGGTTGCCGATATTGAGTAGTGGTAACAGGCATTTGCCTTTTTGTGCAGGCATTTTCTGAGAAATATGTGGATGCTATTTTCTTCAATAATTTAGTCACGTTTCTGTAGGAAAATAAGTATTTTTCATGAATATGGCTCATAGTTTCTTCCTGTGATAGTTTTTGCTGTCAATCATTGTATCAATAAGAATGTTTACTATGCTCCTATAGCATGAAAGATAAATTTGGTCCTTGCTTTCTGGGCCTTGACATGGTCTTTTATTTGTTTAGTTTTTACTGTAATTTCATCGTAGCATTATTGCAGGTCATGCAGGATCTAAAGATGGATTATGCAGCTGCAAGCACCCTGAATTGCTTTTTGCTGTGCTAGAGGAAGATGATTAAATTTCAAAGCATAACACTAATTTGGCTGCTGTCAAATAATATTGACAGCATCCATCTGCTATCTGAATTCTGTGCAACAACACATGCAGAGGAATGTGAATTTGAAATTTCTTTTTGCCATTCATGATTTCTGCTCCTATACTACAAGTCTACAAGTATTGATGGTTTGGACATTAATAATCAAATATTCTCAAATGCTGTAGATTTAACAGCCTCTGAAAAATAATGTGCTGTTGAGGGTGACATGAAGTATAACATTGTCAAGTCATTTGATCTGCTCCTCAGCCCTAATCTCTCTAAGAGGAAATGGACTTACAAACCTGGATTTAAAGCAGAAATCCAAACTAACAGCAGCAAAAGTGAAAATAAACAGATCCTGGAACACAAAGAACGCCCCATCCACAGCATGCGATAGGAAACTTGCTGAGTTGAACTCTAAAGGGGATCCTCCACTCAATGTAGCAAGACCTGGCACAAGAGGAACAAAATTATGAGAATTCCTTGAAAATCTTATCATCCATAGTAGTAACTAAACATGTCAAGTAACTAAGTACCTTTGACTACAGCGAAAGCTCCAGCTGCTCCTGTTTTAAGATGAGTATCGTCAATATCTCTTCTCACTGCATACCGGAAAGTGACACCAAACAATGCACAACTAGCAAAGGTGACTCCTAATTGAAGCAACAACTGAGGACTGTCTGTCACCCTTGAGAGATAAATCGGGACAGCAGCAAGGGTTCCAACCAAGGCACATACTGAAGCTGCTTTCACTGATTCCAACCTCTCTTCATTTCGGGTGTTCTCACCCTTCTCCCCCAAAGCTCGTTCCGCTTCTTCAACCATTGCTTTTGCTTCTAATACCTCCTTCTGACACTCTGCAATCTTAAAACAGTTACACTGTCACAAAAGAGTACAGCAAAATTTCGCAAGCAGTACAGCCTGCGCAGAAATGTCAGGTAACTCAGGTTCATAACATTTATATTCATTCATATTGACAGATTCTTTCCTGACAAAACCAAACATATAAACCCCAAAATTTTCAATTAATGAATAATCAAACCAATGCAGCCGTAAATTGTAAATATGAAAGAGTGAGACCTCAGCTGCTCGAGTTTCGAGTTGATCAATGTATTTTCTCATTTGTTGAGCTTCAAGTTCTTGCCTTTGAATATTAGCAAGTTCTTTCCTAGCAAGCTGTACTCTTTCAGTAGCCTTATTAAGTTTATCCAACATTTCCTTGTTCTCTTCTTTACCAAGCAATTCTTCAACTCTTTTGTCCACTATATTTGATAAGGCATTCTTCAAGCTGCCGCCGCTGCTGCTACCGTTGCCACCACCATCCTCCTGGTTTCTCGGGGTGGAACTGCATTTAACCACCATAATCTTTGACTTAAATGGCGTACCGCCTCCGGTAAATTGTCTGCTTAAGCTTAGAAAGCTCGGTATGATTCGCCGGAAATTATGAAATGAAGTTTTAGAAAAAGAGAGACTGAGCTTTGGGTCTAGAGCACCAGGCAAAGCCATCCCGGTTTTCTTTGATTTTTGACGCCAAATGAGCGGAAACTTATCTTGTGTGGGTTGAATGATTGATAAATAGTTTCACCAATTTGTATCCGGCGTTTGGGTTTGAAATGAAGATGTGGTGATTCTGGTCTACTCTCTTATCCAAAATAATTGCTACAATTACATAATATAATACTAAAACATAGATCAGGAAAGACACGTGTCACATTTTAGCGTTGTTTTTCATCCAAAACTCTTTCATTTCTTTTTAGCAAAAATCTTTTATTTTTTGGAATATTTGTATAATACACCTATAATAATATATTATTCCTATCTTATGTATTAAATTTATAATAATTGTATTTCTTTTTATTTCGTGTTCTATTTACTTAAAATAGTTACACAAGATTTTGAAAACTTTTAATTAAGGGGGAATAAGGTATAATTTAGAAGGTTGAAATATGATAGAGAGTTTAAAATAACGAAGCCAAAAAATACAATATTAACCTATAAATTACCATTATATAGTTGTACAATAGTGAGGTTCGATAAAAAAAAAAAAAAAAAATTCTATTCATGGAGTTGATTTGAAATCTTATGAGATAATATTAATTGAATTAGTTTCTGTAATAATTTTACCAACTTATATATATTTTTTTTCCTTCAAAAAATCTATTAACTACTACTAAAACAGGTCATGATTACATCGATCATTTTGGACATATGTCAAGCTATCATTAAAAAATTTCCCGCCAATACAATATATGATGTCAACTTTAAGAGTTTTTTTTTTTAAAAAAAAAAAATCTACTTAGCTTATTTTTTGGAAGTACATTGTAAAAAAAAAAAGTTTATTTGAAATAAATTAATTCATTAATAAAAAGGTCATACGACAACTACATTATATAGTTTTATTGGGAATAACATACATCATTAGTGTAATATAATGTATACTAATTTTAAATATTTTCAACACAACTAATAAAAAATAATATATATTTTTTCTCAATTGTTAATTCTAATAATTTTTGCCTAATTATTTTATTTTTCTTATATGCATTGCATTTGTTTATTCCACATGAGTTGCCTCATTTTTATATTATATCACAAATTAATTATGTGAAAAAAATTATTATTATTATCGTGCATCGAACGGGCACTAATCTAGTTTTAAAAATAAAAGTAGGTCACGTTTCATTCCTTTATTGAATTTTACATTTTGAGGAACTTACTTTTCAGGAGATTCTGAAATCGATTTTTATCCACACCCATTGTAACCCTTCAAACAAAAAAAAAAAAATCACATTTTTACTCTATTCGTTTATTGAATTACTTTTAAATTTATACTAATGTATTAGATATATTATTAATTTATTATGTTAATGATTAAAGATGTGCATTTGGAGAGATGCATATTCAATAATCAAATCATAATTTTTTTTTTTGGGGTAAACGATTTTGAAATTATTAATTTGAAACCTTCTTCTTTTTCCATATTTCCCTTTTTTTTTTACTTTATTTTCATAATATTATTTGTTTGCATTGTCGTAGATGATTTTTATAAACTATAGAATTATGTTAGCGAAAATCAAGATGTATTCTCCATGACTCCATGAGTCATTCTTTACTTTCTAGTTTCTAAGAGTAGACACAACAAATAACCACTTGGGGTGGTTATTAGGAGAGAGATTGTGAGAAAATAATAAAATAATGAGGAGAGAGAAAATTTTGGTGGAAAATATTAATAACCTGGTTATTTCAATAACCGGTTATCATAGCTTGGTCATGCAATTTTTTTTTTGCTTTTTGGTTGACATGGATGGCTAAGATTTTGACACGTAATACAAATATCAATGGTTGAGATTTGCTCTGAATTTATAACCGTTGTAATTTTTGTAACGGCCATAATTTTTAAAATACAATTCTGAAAAAAAAAAAAAAATACACCAACGGCTCTATTTTATTTTTCTCTATAAAATGAGCCCAATATTGAAGTATTTTGAAACAACTTTTTTTAAGTGAAAATTACTCTTCTTATTGGCAAATTGTGTTAAGATGAACATTCCAAAATCTAACAGAAAAAAAAAATCCACAAAATCTCATAACTCATCACAGCCCCAAAATAATCCAAATCCTCAACCTTACTATTCTAATCTTCCAATTGATCTCAACTCAGATTTAGATACAAATTTTCAAAATTTTCCGAATTACGGTTCACAAAATCTCAATTTCTCAAATCCAAGTACTTTCACTCCGTTTCCTTTTCAACCACCACAAAATCCTAATTATTCAAATTCTCCAAATGTTATCCCATCTTTTGAAAATATTCAAATCTCTCAAATTGATTCAACATTTCCCATGTCTCAACATTTTTCTATGTCACAAGGTGATGGTGCATTTTCGAGTTTCGATTGTTCATACACATCGAATGCATCAGATGACGAAAATGAACCAGAAGTTGAAGAAGGCGAAGGTAATGAAAGAGGTAATGAAGGAGGCAATCAAGATGGAAGGAAAATTTTTTGGTCAAAAGCTGAAGAAGTGGTTCTTGTGAAGGCTTGGCTTGAGGTTAGTCAAAATAAAAAAACTAACACTAACCAAAAGGGGGATGTTTTTTGGAGGAAAATTGAAGAAATGTATAATAATGTTAGACTATACAAACAAAGGTGTTTCGAAGAAGGTACTGATCGGGTAACACGAGAAGATTTGTTGAAAATGAGGGGTACGGAGCAACTTAGAAACCGTTGGAGAAGGATTAATGCTTCATGTTCTAAATTTTGTGGCTCACATGCTCATGCTGAATCAAAAAAGGGAAGTGGTATGAATGATGAAGATGTTATGAAATTAGCATATAGTATATATGCTAACGACAAAACAAAGTCTTCATTATGCTCTAAAACCTTTCAAGACAAGCATGTTTGGGACATCTTAAAACAACATGAAGCATGGAAACCAAGTGAAGATGTTGTTAAAAAATGCAAGGAAAAGACATCCACTCAAGGAAGTGACTCAAAGAGATCTCGTATCAATGAAGCTGGAAACTACTCCTCTTCATCAAACCCAGAAACACCAACCAGTGGTGATATTGGGTATTCAGGCTTTCCTTCTAGCAACGAATCTAGTAAAAATAAAGGAAAGAGCAAGGTGCCAAACATGCCAAGTGGAGCATGGCAACAATGGTTGGACACTGCCCAGAACATGAACCTTCTAAGGCAATCAGAAAATGAAGTTGAACTTACAAGGTTGCAACTAGAAAGGGAGAAAGAAGCAAGGAAGCAAAGAAAAATTAATATGGAGTTATTTAAACACCTCGATTCAAAGCCAAACTTATCTTCGGAAGATCAAGAATTAAGGAGCACTTTGTTGAAGAAGTTGTTCCCCTCAGACTAATGTATTAGTGTATGGTTGATTATTGTCGTAATGTTGGTTGATTTCAAATAATTCCTTTTTTATTGTTCTTTTTTATGTACTTAAGGTCTGATTTGTAGTTTGAATACTTATGGAGTTATTAAGTTAAATTACATGTCTCTTCTTATAATCGTATTATAAGCTTAATAATATTATTCAATACATTAAAGTTTTTATATAATAACATATAATTATTATTGATCTGACTAAACCTATTGATTCACTTTGATATATCACTGCAAAAGATGTACATTGATTTACATTACACTGTAAAGTATTTGATGTACCCAACACTGAAAAGCAAATATTAAATACTAGACATTGATGTACTTAACACTGAAAAGGTAATAGTGAATTTTGTTCACTGATGTACTTAACACTGAAAAGGAAATAGTAGCATGCATCACTTGCTTTGACGTACATAACAATGTTAAGGTGATAGTGACAATGCAAAGGCATGCATCTCCATTACTTTTAAAAATTATTAACTACTTTATGAATCATTGCATGCATGCAAGACTTCAAATTTACCATATAAGACAAAAAAATTACTACATATCATACACACTTGTTCTATAAGATGGATACATCAGAGTGGGATTCCCTTGAACAACCATCCATTTCCCCCTATTATACTTCTACCTTCCATTCTCATATCAAATTTGGTTTTAAAACATGTCATCTGACGATAGCTCCAACTCTTCTAATTCCTCTTCCAATTCAGAAAATAGCCAAACCCAACGATATGAAAGACGAAGGCAAGCCAATCGCCAGTTCGATCGAATGATGGATGAAGTTTTTATGTCCAATCCAGTTGAAGTATATCAAATGTTTAATCAAGTGCCAAGGCCACCAAGGGTTCCCGTTCCAAGGGATCGTGAGGATGGACACAGTCGTTTATGGAATGACTACTTTACCGACCATCCTGTGTTCCCTCCACAATTATTCCGTCGGAGATTTCGCATGAACAAACATATATTTCAACGAATTAAGCAAACTTTAGAAGAACGTCATCCCTTCTTCCAGCAAAGACAAGATGCTACAGGAAGATTTGGTGCCTCTGCATTACAAAAATGCACCGCGGCTATGAGACTAATAGCTTATGGCACCTCCGCTGATTCTGTGGATGACTACATTCGGATTAGTGCATCTCTTGCAAGAGATTCACTTCAGCATTTTGTGGAAGGAATAGTCTCTTACTTTAGTGATGAATACCTTCGAAAGCCCAATGAAGAAGATCTAGTAAGACTACTAAGGATTGGTGAACGTCGTGGATTTCCTGGCATGTTAGGTTCTATTGATTGTATGCATTGGAGGTGGAAAAACTGTCCACTTCGATTAAAAGGTATGTTTTCTGGAAGACCAGGTAAACCCACATTAATCTTGGAAGCTGTGACATCATATGATCTTTGGATCTGGCATGCCTTTTTTGGGACACCAGGTAGTCGTAATGATATTAATGTTCTTGATAGATCCCCATTGTTTAATGATGTTTTTGAAGGTTGTGCACCCTCTATTAACTATGTTGTGAATGGTCGCACATACAATATGGGATATTATCTCACTGATGGTATATATCCTAAATGGGCGGCATTCATTCCTACAATATCACTACCACAAAATGAAAAAGAAGGTCTATTTGCCAAAGTACAAGAAGCTAAACGAAAGGACGTTGAGCGTGCTTTTGGAGTATTACAAGCTCGTTTTGCAATAATACGGAATCCAGCGCTAGCTCGTGACGCATCAATGTTAGGAAAAATAATGATAGCGTGTATTATTATGCACAATATGATTGTTGAGGATGAAAGAGATACATATAAAACGTATTACGATCCAAATGAATATGATCAAGCTACAAATGCGTCTTCAAGTAATGAAAATAATGAAGAGCCTTTTCAGTTCCAAAATAGCAACAACCGAATTGCAAGTTTGGAAACTTACATGTCTAATAGAGCACGTGTTCGTGATGAAGCTATGCATAAAGCATTGAAGAAAGACTTAGTTGAACATATGTGGCTCAAATTCGGTGTTCAAAGTAGGGACAATAATATGCATTAATAGATGTGTAATCGCAATATTATATCATTGTGTTTGTACTTGTTCGCGGTTCGTTATTATCTTTCAAAGACTTTTGTCATTTGATAGAATATATATGTATGATTTTTATTATTGTGGAATGTAGTAGGGTTACAATTATTGTTTGTGTCTTAATTAACGACTAATTACATACTAATTAATATCAAAATTGCATTATTTTTAAATTTTTGAGATTTTATCTAATTAATGTATGCTAATAAATAATTATTAATTTTGAATGATTATTACCAAATGCATTATTTAATAATAATAGAATTTAAGTAATAAATTGTGTGGTGGAGTTGGGTAAAAGTAGGAGAGAGAAAATGTATAACCAAAATATTATGGTTAACTATTGGCATACATTGGTTATTAAATGGTTATAAGAGTGGTTATAAGTGAGGTGGAAGATGGATAAAATAATAAAATAATCAATAACCAAGATGGGGTTGGGCAACCATTGTGTATGCTCTAAGGGGTATACCATGAAATAGACATACAAGTATTTCTTTCCATGAAAAAGTACACTACATTGAGATATATTGTTCATATGTGCATTAAAACATGTCTTGCTTGAAGACAAAATAAATTTCATCTTAATAACCAAATTGCACATGTGTTTAGGAAGTTGGTTGAGAATGAACAAACTTTAAACTTATGTAGGTCACAATCAATGAAGAGAAATAAATGAAAGGAATTTCTTTATTAAAAATAATAATATCAATGTTTATAACACATCAAAAAAGGGTATAAAATTTCGATACATCTTTAGTTGAAGACAAGATGTTGGAGGTCTTTTTATTCTTTAATATAAATAACTATTATATGAGTGAGATCAATCATAATTTATTAATTTACTTACGAATATGAATTATAATTTATTTATACTCATGTGAAGAAATAACCCTAAAAAGCAATAATTTAGGCTAATGAATCACAATTAGTCAATTAGGCTCCTTGTCTCAAATTTGCAATCATTGGCCATTTGATTCATTCATAAAAAATGAGAAAAAAGAAATGCAATTTAAATTAATCAACCCAAAAATTAAATGTAGTAAAATTATATTAACTAAATTCAACTTAGATCTTAAGGCAATTTATATAAAATAACCAACAAAACATATTTTAAGGAAAAAAATAATAAAAAGTTAAGATTTATTCGGTATTGTTATACTTTGTAATTTTCTGTTTTTCAAAATCATGTGATATATACTCTGTATGTCATATGAAATACAACAAAGAAAAAATTCGTCAAACTTATTTAAATCATACCATAATAATTTTGAAAACCAATTAACCAATAATGAAAAAGTGAATATAACTTTTTGATTAATTTTTGATTAAAAAAAAAAAAAAAAAAAAAAAAAAAAGCAGAAAAATGAAAAAAAAAAAACAATCACATCCAAGCTTTTCCAATCATGCTCACACTACACACTTCACAGTTAGCGAGTCAGTCAACTACACTCTGAAACAATGTCAACCATCATCTCCTCCAATTCTTCTCTCCTAATTCTCAACCCTTCTTCCAAATCCAAATCCCAACACCAATTCCAATCCCTCTCTTTCAACAACCCCTCCAATTTCTCCCCATCAATTACATCCCAAAACCATCCCCAATTCACCCCAATTCCAAAAACCTTAACCCTAACTGACCCCTCAAAACCCCGACTTCCCACCATCTCCGCCACCGCAAACGACGCCGCTAAACCCAGCGAAACCCTAAAAACCCGCCTCAAAAATGGCGAAACCCTCTACGGTCTCTTCCTCTGCTCCTTCTCTCCCACCCTCGCCGAAATCGCAGGCCTCGCCGGTTACGACTACGTCGTCGTCGACATGGAACACGGCTACGGCGGAATCCCCGAGGCACTAACTTGTCTCCGTTCCCTCGCCGCCACCGGAACTCCGGCGATTCTCCGGTTACCGGAATCCACCGCAGCCTGGGCCAAAAAGGCCCTTGATTTGGGCCCACAAGGTATAATGTTCCCAATGATTGAATCCCCAAAAGAGGCCCAAAAGGCCGTTTCATTCTGCAGGTACCCACTCAATGGAGTCCGTGGGGCGGCCCATTCAATAGTTCGGGCTTCCGGGTACGGTATCGACGCGGGGTATTTAGGTCATTGTGAAGATGAGCTGCTGATCATGTGCCAGGTGGAATGCGAGGATGCGATTGAGAAAATCGAGAAGATCGCAGTCGTTGAAGGGGTGGATTGCATTCAGATGGGACCGTTGGATTTGAGTGCGAGTATGGGGTATTTGTGGGACCCAGGGAATAAGAAGGTGAGAGAGAAGTTGAGGAAAGCTGAGAAGCAAGTGTTGGAGGGTAAAATTGGAAATGAGAAAAATAATGGTGGGGCCTACTTGGCGGGGTTTGCAATGCCGCATGATAGTCCGGAGGAGTTGAAGTCACGTGGGTATCACATGGTGTCTGGTGCGGTGGATATACTGCTGTTTAGGAAAGCTGCGGTGGAAGATGTTAAGAAGTTTAAATTGAGTTTGGAGATTGGTGATGGTTCGTCTGATGATGATGATCCAACGGCTGAGGGTGTCGATGCTGATGATAAGTATTGGAGTGAGTGATTTTAGTTTAGTAAAAATTGTGTTGTTTTTGTGATGATTGTTAATTGTTTTTAATTTAGGCAGTAAAAATTGAGTTTGTTCGAGGTTGAATTGTTATTTAGCCTGTCATTGTTTTACATTATTGGAGTGGGAGCTTAAAATTGGATAAGTTGTTAGTAATTTGCACATGGTAAAATAAAGTGATTTTTTGGATTACTTCTTTTGTCTCTATTTGTTGTGTACGAAGTATTGTTTTATCTACAAGTATACTCCTAATATTCGTAGGCAATAGGGACATTTTAAGGTTTTTTTTTTTCTTTTTGGTGACAAAATGTAATTTGGAAGAAATGATAAGCCCATCTTTGAGACGTGTTAGCATGATTCCAAGTACTTTGTTAGTGTTTAGCTACATTTTGATCTTGATGGAGTTTAAAAATTGAAAGATGGTCCTATTCAGTTGGCAGTTACCAATTGGAAATTCTGTTGTTTTGGAGTGAAGGTTGTTAGCAAGTAGTGTCATGTCTAATGTCTTACATTTTGTCCAACACGAAATGTGTCATCTTGATAGCAAAAGAAAACAACATTTTCCTAATTACTACCACCAGGTTGTGCCAAGTGCCTAAACCATAATTTTTTATGTAGCTGCATTTGACAAACATTTTTGGGAGTGCTTATCTGTTGCCTCAATTTTACGATAACATAATGCATGCTTTGAAATTAACATCACTTTCAAACTCCTTGAGTGATATTAGTAGGATTACCACCACAAAACAACTAGTGGTAAGAATGGCTACTTCAGTTTCTCCACCAATTCCCTCCCTCAAATCGCGTCTTAGAAAGGGGGATTGCCTGTATGGTCTCTTCTTTGATAGCTTCTCTCCGACTATTGCTCAAATTTCTGGCCATGCCGGTTATGATTTTATTGTCATTGACATGGAGCACGGCTTTGGTGGGATATCGGAGGCTCTCTCTTGCCTCAACGCCCTAGCTGCTTCTCAGACTCCAGCTATCCTCAGATTGCCCGAGTGCTCTGCCATGTGGGCTAAGAAGGCCCTTGATTTGGGTCCACAAGGGCTCATGTTCCCCATGATTCACACCCCAGAGCTGGCCAAAGAGGCCGTCTCTTACTGTCGCTATCCACAGGCTGGTATCCGGGGGGTGGCACATCCCATCACTCGAGCTTCCAAGTATGGTCTTGACCCAACATACCTGGACTGGTGCGAAGAGGAGCTGCTCATCATGTGCCAGGTTGAGTCAGAGGAGGCTGTGCATAAGATCCAGGAGATCACAGCCGTTGATGGTCTGGATTGCATCATGCTTGGGCCAACTGATCTGAGTGCTAACATGGGTTACATTCGAGACCCTGGTAACGAAAATGCTGTGAAGATGGTTCAGACAGTGGAGAATGCAGTGTTAGGCATGAAGCCTAAAGGTGACAAAAGGGTTTATCTAGCTGGGTTTGCCATGCCGCATGATGAACATAGTGAGCTCAAGAAGCGTGGGTATCATATGGTTTGTGGCGCGGTTGATATTGTACTCTATAGGGACGCTGCTGTAAAAGATGTACTCAAGTTCAAAACTACAGTCTAGGTGAATATTAATCCGAGCATGTGCTGTAATACAGTAATAGCTACTCGTAATAATAAAAATAATGATATACCAGGAAGCCTTTGCTCAATTAGAGTAGGTACCTGATTGTATGCTTTTTTTTTTTTTTTTTTGACAAAGACTGAGTTGTATGCTTTAGTGAACCAATTATGCAGTTGTTACTTTTATTCATTGAAATTATGTAAAAATAATTGCAGTACTGTGTTATCTAAAAGTTTTACTCCCCACCAAGTCTTACCAAACTGAATTGAATTGACATCCGAGAGCTGATAATTCATCAAGATCCTTCTTTATGAACTATTCTTGCGAAGAAATTTACAAGAGAAACTTACGAAGTATTAAAAAAGGATTGATGATGTTAAGAATCTATATAATATATATGGAGTACTTTATATAGAGGATTTTCACCATACAATCGGTTGCATTTTCCAAGATACAACTAAGGCTATTTTTTGTCATATGCTCACAAGATACATAAATAGTAATGCTGGTTGTATCATATTCTGTACATAAATAGCTTAATGTACAACCGATTGTATATTTTTTTTTTTTTAAAAAAAAAAAAAAATCTTAATTTTCTTTAATGATTAAAAAAGGTGCAAAAAATCCTTAATGTGAATGCCTAAAAGGTGCAAAACTGAATTGAATTGACATGCGAGAGGAGATTATTCATCAAGATTCCTTCCCAATTATTCTCGCGACGGAATTTACAATTGTAAAAGTATGGATCCAGTTGAGGCTGAGTTTGAAATGACCATCCACAATCAACAAAGTGACTAAGTGAGCTACCTTAGTGATGTTCTTGAGAAACCCTCATCAACACTTAGATTAGTGAGCATGCACAAACAATGTTTGTACTATGTTATTATATGCAAAGAAGTGGTCATAATAGACTTGCAATAGGCTTTGGTAATAATTTAACTCGAATGTTAGGTACTACATCCGGTCGCTATTATTTGCAACTTTTGAGGGTTTCACGGTTCACGAAGCATAATTTGATAATAAAAGGAAAAGGGTACTTTGTACATGTGATTAGGAGGAGAGAGAAAAAATAAAATAGAGGACCACTATATTAAAATCTGATTTTGTACATGTGGTTAAGAGAAGAGAGAAAAAATAAAAAGGGAGACCACTGTATAAATGTCTTTTTAACCAAAAAAATTTGTTAAAAAAGGAAAGAAATTGAAAAGTTGTAAATAATGCTGAGCGGCCAAAAATAGTAAAAGTTGCAAATAATAGCGACCGGAGGTAGTATTTTAATAATTTCCTTATATTATTCATTACACCTTAAAAGCTTGCCATGAGAAAAGGGTCCTTGAAATTTCGTTGTACTTTGCTAAAATGTACAATAATTTCAAAAATCAATATAATATGTAGAGGATTTTCACCATACAATCAGTTGCACTTTACAAGATACAACCAAGATAATTGTTTTTTCCATTTGCTCACAACAGTCACAAGGTGCAAAGTAATACTCCATACTTTGTAAGTTTGTATGAGCAATGCTGGACTGGTGGTTGTATCATACTCGTACATAAATTACTTTTAAAGAACTTGTTTAAGTAAGGTGCAAAAAAGTCCTAAATGTGAATGCCTGAAAGGTACACTGGCACATCTAGCAGGAGCAATAAATAGCACAGCGTCGGTGTACAGTATGCAAAATTATTGAACAAATATCTCCCATAAGCATAACTCGTGCAAAGATGACATTGTTACTGTTAAAATTAAGAAAAAGGATCTTTAAGCAATACAATACACGCTTTTAATTGGAGCAATAAATTGACGCGGTGGACGACACCGCCAACTAATAACAAATTAGGAAAATTAAAAGTAGTTTCTTCCCCTTTTAGTACCAATTTAGTGAGTGTGATAGATTGATTATTAGGGGATATTCGTGTTATCATACCAAAGCTAGTATGTCTTAGTTCCGTAATTGGAAGTTTCACTTCGGCATTTATGAACCATAACCATATTGTTAATCGAATATTTATTAATTTTAGTTGATTTTTACCGTATCCTTATATACGTCGTATAAGTTATTGGCCAAAAAAAAAAATTGAATGTAGACAAGAATCAGGCTAACAAAAGCAGAAATTATTTAAGTTCTTTTTTTTTGCCTTCAGATTATTTAAGTTCTTTAGTTGTAACAAAATTATGCAAATTCTCAATGCAATATTGTTGCTTCCAAAGTAATAAAATTAATAAAAATTATAAGTAGGAGTTATATTAGTTTTGAATGTTTTGAGTAGGAAATTTACATAAGCTTTCAAACTAAAAGTATTACTATTTTAGTAGCATTTATAGAATGTGTAATTAGTTTAATTAAAAAAAATACTTCGTATTTCAATTATTTTTAGCTAACTATTTTGTCAAAAATCGCAACTGTAAGTCCATTACTAAACCGTTGCAACCATGTTTATACCATTTATTTATTCCACCATCTTTGTTTTTTTTCTCTAAAACAGTAAACCTATCATCTAGTATTTATTTTAGATGAATTTCGATTGTTGTCCTTAATGAACACCCCTATGATTATGTACTTACCTAGTTATAATGTTACATCACTTAGATCCTGTTCACTTTACCTTAAAAATAATATTAAGTAAAAATAATTTCAGTTTAGTAAAAATAAGTTCAATTCAGTAAAAATAAGCTCAGTTCAATAAAAATAAGGTGAAGTGAACGAGCCTTACATGAGCAACATAGCTCCTTCCCTCACGGGATGAATTTCTATTATATTTTTTCTTTATATTTGATTTTCTATTATATTTCTTCTTGTAAAATTTAGTAACTATATATTTGATCACCTTATAATTTTCATCCCTCACTCCATCAACAACAAAATTAACAAAGCTAATTAATGCTTTCTATTCAAGCCAAAGGGAAGAGAAAAAAAAAAAAAAAAAGAAAAAAAAAGCATGAGATAAAGTATTTATGAAGCCAATATCACTTTAATTCTAATCTTTATATATTAAAATCCTTATAATTAAATTTATAAAATAATTACACACCAATTTCTGTTCATCTTTTTTGCCTTTTACACTCCATCTCTCCTTTCATATTGGCACTCTCACACTCACTCTCACAATAAATTCCCAATCTCATTCTCATTCTCATTCTCATTCTCTCTTCTTCTTTCTCTCTCCTCTTTCTCTCTTTCAAGAGTGAGTGTATTGCAGAAATCAGATCAAGAAAAGCTTAGCAATAACAATGGAGATTTTCTACATTCTGGTGTTCGGTGCCATGGCTGCTGTTGTTGCAGCATTAGAGCTCAGCAAAAACAGCAAAGATCGCATCAATACTTCCTCTGCTTTCAACACTTTCAAGAACAATTACTTGCTCGTTTACTCTCTTATGATGGGTATCTTTCTCTCTTCTCAGATCTGCCTCTCTTTTCTTCACCCCCATTTAATTTTTCTTTAGTATTTTTGAATGATCATTTATATTCTAAATTTCAGATCTTGGATATAGAATTGTTTCAATTTTTTAACTTTGAATGATTATTTGAAATGGGGTTTATAGATTGTGTCTTTTGATATTTGCAATTGATCTATTATTGTGTTTTGTACGCTAATTTTTAAATAGATTAAAGTAGTAAGACATTCTCTGATTAGATTTGGTGATTGTCATTTAGGGGTATATTATATATTGTAGATTATTATTTAGGGTTGATTTAATTTGGAGTGAAATAATTGAGCTGATTTTAAATAATTGGCAACAGCTGGGGATTGGCTACAAGGCCCATATGTGTATTATCTATACACTACCTATGGTTTTAGTAAGGGAGACATTGGGCAGCTTTTCATTGCCGGGTTCGGATCATCCATGTTATTCGGGACGATTGTCGGATCCCTTGCTGATAAACAGTATGATTTTCTTACCCCTATTGATGGTGTTTAAGTTATCGTAAGCTTTGTTGATGGTTTGACTGATTATCGTCGGGTTTTTGGTTTCAGGGGTCGTAAGAGGGCATGTGTTACTTACTGTATTACTTATATCTTGAGTTGCATGACCAAGCACTCCCCACAATACAGAATTCTGATGGTAGGGCGTATTTTGGGAGGCATTGCCACTTCTCTTCTGTTTTCGGCCTTTGAGTCATGGCTTGTTGCTGAACACAATAAGGTGCGAATTGTACTGTCATTTGGCTTTGTAGTAAAACTCAAAACTTGCAGTTTCTTCAAACTTAAAAAGTATTAGTTTTTGGAGAAAAAGTGGTAGTCATCTGTGTTTAGCTGTTTTCTGGAGAGAAGTGTAATTGCAATTGTGTATTCGTATTTGACATGGTTAGTATAAATTATGAACAAACTGTTGTGAACCAATGAGCTACATGCTTATATATTATAATGTGTTTGATTTCTTTGATTGTTAATCTTAATCCTTCTGGGTTTATGCAGAAAGGATTTGAACAGCAGTGGCTTTCTCTGACTTTCTCCAAGGCCATTTTCTTTGGCAATGGCCTAGTTGCCATTTTGGCTGGATTATTGGGCAATCTGCTTGTTGATACTTTTGGGTTGGGTGCTGTTGCTCCGTTTGATGCTGCATCCTGCTTCCTTATCATTGGTATGGTAATCATAATAACTTCATGGGGTGAAAACTTTGGGGATTCTTCAGAAAGTAAAGACTTGCTCACACAATTCAAGGGTGCTGCTGTTGCTATTGCTTCTGGTAAAGTGCTATTTTCTTATCCACGATCTAGTTCTCTAGTTTATTATTGACTAATTGTTATGATGCATCATGATCCATTATGGTCGATTCAGTCAGTCAATGTAAAGGATTTTTGTGTATAAGAGACGTATTATTGGTATTGCTATGCACCTCAAGTTGCTATTTATTGCTGTGACTGGTGTGTGAGCAGTTTCTTATTTTGGGTCTTCATGTGTCATAGTAGTCAATGGTGGCAGATGCTTTATTCATGTATGGCTTCTATTATTTGTTGGGAGAGGAAGAAAGTATTCTTTTATCTATTTGGATGCAATTTATATCCATGTAATGAAGCCTCAAACTGTGCATATTAGTCCTGAATCTCCTGACAGCAGCAACTCCATGACGGAATAAACTAAACTAATGTCATGACACTTGACAGTATTACAGAAATGTTTTTTCTTTCTCTTTTTTTTCATCACATTGTCAAAATCAATTTTGAATTTTGACTTCTGTACCAGGGATGTATTCTGCTTGTGATTTATCTTCTACTCTAGCCTGTTTGGTAGGTAGTAATAAAGTTGCATCGAAAGTATCATCTCAATGTGCATGGTAATGCAACCCCTTCTCCAAGCTTCTGCTGTCCTTAATAAATTTTCAATAACACTCAACACCTCCTATCAAGTGGCAATGACATAGGGCTTTCATCTTAAAAAAAACATACAAATGCATTCCAATTAACACCGTTTATTAACAATTACCAAACGGGCTGTTAGTTCTTACACTAGTTTTACCCAACTTTTTATGTGGAGGACAACACAATTACCAAGTCTTTGGGAAAGGACCTTTCTGCTATTGAATATACTGTTGTGTGCATAATCACTGAGATCCCATTATCGACAGGAATCTCTCTATATTAGTTTACTGTTGATTGATTCCTTCAAAAATCCAAATCCGGTTCCTGGATAAGATTACCAAAGGGCATTCTTCATATCATGCCTTGTTATGATGTATTGTTGTTTATATGATCATGGCATTCATGTCTTTTTCATTCTGATTCGTGAAGGGATTAGTATTTTTGTGACTAAATAATATTTTCCACCCATGCATTTTCATCCACAAATCGAAGGAGTTGTTTCTGATATGAGTTTGACATGTATAAAAAGAAGTACGAAGATTTGAAATACTTGTTTTTACTGTTCTGCTCCTCTTTGCCTTTCCCTCAGCTACCTGAGTTGCCGGATCATCATTTGTTCATTTTGCCCCCACTCCCCCATGTACAACTTGGAAGTGACTTATAAATTCTGCTAATTTGGTAACAGATGAGAAAATTGCGTTGCTGGGTGCAATACAGTCCTTGTTTGAAGGTTCCATGTATACATTTGTGTTTCTATGGACTCCTGCTTTGAGCCCAAATGATGAAGAAATTCCTCACGGTTTCATTTTTGCAACGTTCATGTTGGCCTCAATGTTGGGAAGCTCCCTTGCATCACGATTGCTGGCCCGTTCTGCCAAAGTTGAGAGCTATATGCAGATTGTCTTTACCATATCTTCTGCCTCACTCACGCTCCCAATTGTGACCAGTGTATGTTGATTTTAAAATATTTTGTACTCTATATAGATTTCTGATTTCTAGTCTTGTATTTCTGTGATAGCCTTTCTTGCATGTATCTAACCTTGGTGATTAATGTGTTCATGAAAAAAGTTCCTGGTAGCACCATCCAATGTGAAACGTGGAGGTATGTCATTTGCCGGCTACATCCAGCTCCTTGGTTTCTGTGTATTTGAGGCTTGTGTGGGGATCTTCTGGCCATCAATCATGAAGATGAGGTCACAGTATATTCCGGAAGAGGCACGAAGCACAATCATGAACTTTTTCCGCATACCTCTGAATATCTTCGTGTGCATTGTGCTGTACAATGTAAGTTGAGCCTTGTTTCCCTAGTTTTCACTATTTTAATGGAGGGATGAGTGCTAACAAATTTGTTTTGTTTGGTCAGGTTGAGGCATTCCCCATAACAGTCATGTTTGGCATGTGTTCCATTTTCCTCTTTGTGGCATCCATATTGCAGAGGCGGCTTTTGGTCATTGCTGATAGTCAAAGAACAAGTGAGTTGTAATTTAGATTGAATTTTTTTTCCCCAGATATTCCTGTCTTTGCTCACAATGCTTGATGGTAGTCACTGGTTACTTTACAGACTGAATTTAGTGCAATCTTGAAGTGGTATTTTTCAAATTGAAAATTGTGCTTAGAGCTTTATTAATGAAGAATGTATACTGCTGCAGAGCCACAAGAATGGACAGACATGAAGGAGAGGGATCCAGAAGACGAGCCATTGAATGCTTGATTTACGGGTAAAGTTTGAAGATTGGGCACATTTCACTGCAAGTGATTCAATGTTCACAGTCTACTTACTTTTTGTTAAGCAATAAGATTATTTTATACGGAGTAATTCTCCAAAGATGACTAATGAGGTGAGTCAATGACAAAAACTTGATGGTCGTCATGGTAGCTTACTGGTATACTGTGGACAAGGTTGGATTCTTCCCCGTGTTGCTGCTGCAATATCTGCTATTAGTGCTCCGACCCCGTCAGAGATATAGTTGGCACAGCTGGTAACTGGGCAAGAATCTGCTCTTATTTTTGAGTAGCTTAAAATTATTGAGCATGTTGAAGTAGTAATAGGTCTCCAATTCTTCTCTAATATGTCCCATATTGTATACCTAGTAGTCCAAAGTGTGCTTTATGGCAGTTATTTATTTACTAGTATATGCCCATATGTATTCATAAAAGTAAAATGTTGATGAAACCCTTTTCTATATTTTATACTTTCTTACAGTTTATATATACAAGCATGTCTATTGTCTTCCAAGGCTGCATCATGCCATCACTTGCATGTTGTGATTTTTGACATTAAGATTTGAATCATAATAATGCATGATCCCTGAACTGCTACAGCAATGTGACTAATGTTGAAACTTCTTTTTTCGTCGTGGCTAATCATCAGATCTTGCCATTGTTGCTTACTGTCAGTGTCTCCAAATGCAGGTCTTTGGAAAACTTTGCCCCCAAAGTCTGCAAATAATAGTCATATACACTTCCTAATTGAAAAGTTGATGGAAAATATATATAATAAACGAAGAGACAATGTGGACGATGCTAGAGTATTATTGAACAGCCGAAACTTTGAGAAGCCATGTGATTTGGCACATGAAAGAAGCAACTTGCATTTGTTTTGGATAATACTACATTGAAACATGATGCAAGTTTGGAACTAGCCAACCGGGCTTACACTTCTCTTGGTAACTCACGCGACTGCCATGATCTAGCTCCAAGAAGTTAATTTTTTTTGTTAACCATATCTATGTCAACTTTGAAAAGTTTCCAAAGACTCGAGTAAATCCTTCATAACTAGACTGGTCGAAATGATTTTGCATCTAATTTGACGAGCTTGTTAAAAATATTTTTAGATGTCTGTGTAGTGTCAAGTACAAGGTTCTCGAAGATGACAGATAACATTCAGATCGTGCTTAAGCCCTAGTGTAGTGAGGCTAGAAGGATATCACGGGCATTCCCATAATAGACCATCAAACTCTAATGCCATTTCGCAACGAGGCGGCCTTGGTGAAAAGGTGCAATATAAAGATAGAGTGAAATGTTAAACTGACTCTTTAAGTGTTAAAACTTTCCATTCTTCCCTACTTGACTACTTCAGCATACCCTTTGATAAATCACTTCCCATGTTAGTTTGCTGTCTTCCCATGTGCAATTATCTAGCTTATCATTGATTAATTTTAAACCATAGCCTCTTCATTCAAGAAAGTCATTTTCTATCCTAGCACTTCCTGATGTCTTTCCACTAGATCTGGTCTTTTGATGTTAAATATATAAAAGTCAAAGCCGAGTTAGCATTACTAATTAACCATCACTCAATTAGCACAGTTTCCAAATGTCAACTAGGGCCATAGCGAGCCAAGTTCGAGCTTGAGAAGGTTAGAATACTTAGGCTTGGCTTGCTATTCATCTCGATGGGTCATGCCAACATTATTGGAGTTTAATTAGTCTATTACAAGATGAAGGGTATTTTAGTAAAACAGCTCACGAGCAGTGTCTTCTTTTGAGAAACCAATCTGTCCAACAACCGCTGGCATTTCTCCCTCCTAGATCCCTTATTATAGAATTGAATCAATTATAAACACGAGAGGATCGAGTGAACACATTGATCAACTTTACTTTGTGCAGAAACTAAAGAGTTTGAAACTTGAAAAGGAGAGAGAATAAAAATGTTGTATGTTATGAGTCCAAAGTGCTTATTCTTCTACACTTTGCAGCTTCTAATTTTATTGCAAGCCAAAGTGTTTTGTTTTCAGCACAAAGTTGGAGACTTAAGCGCTTGGAACATCCCTACTGCTGCTAATCCAGATGTCTACATCAAATGGTCCAATAAAACCAGTTTCAGAGTAGGCGATTCTCTTAGTAAGTTTACACACTACTCCCTCTGTCTCTAAATATTATTTCGTACTTTTAATTTATTGTGAGACGATCACCATTAATGTAGAATGGAAACTTTTTTTATGTGGTACTATTAACTTATTCCAAAAATGATCTTTTTGTATGTTGTGACTTATGTCAACCTAGGACAGGATCCTCTCTAATAACTAGATGGTCTGTTAATTATATGATGGTCCAATAATCGGAGAGAATCCTGGCAATGCTATTGTAACTAATAATAACAATACAATGTTGTGGAATGCAGTGTTTTTGTACCCACCAAGCCAAGATTCAGTAATACAAGTAACACCACAATCATACAAAACATGCAACCTAAAAGATCCAATCTTGTTCATGAATGATGGAAACTCATTGTTCAACATAACACAACCTGGAGATTTCTACTTCACAAGTGGAGAAGTAGGACATTGCCAAAAAGGCCAGAAACTTCACATCTTTCTTGATGGAAAAGGCGCTATTGCTTACGCACCATCAGAGGCAGAGACTGCAGCTGATGGACCTTCTTACCAACAAAATTTTGGGTCTATTCCAACTGCATCTGCTTCTTCTATCAGATTTTCTACAGTTTTGGGTTCTTTGATTGTTTTTGCAAACTGGGTTCTTGTTTAATTCATGTAATCAAATACAATGAGCCATATTCTTCAATTTTTTTGTCGGTCGATTATTTTTATAATTAATTATTGGACTTAGGGTCCTACTTTTGATTTGTATTGATTCTTTTAATGAAATTGTTATAGTGTATAACCATGCTTTGCTTTTGTGTTTGTCGGTGTAATGTCTATGGTTTAGAACTTTAGATGTACGTGCAAAATACTAAAATGGCTAATTTTCAAACTCAATAACAATTAAAACTAGTGTATGGGCAAAAATTTGAGAATGGAGAAAAAATCAAAGATTTTTTTTTTAAAAAAATTTATTTTAATTTTATCACGTGTGTATGTATGAGGCATTTTGATTTTTATCCAAATACAGAGGTGTTTTAGATGAGTACATGAAAGTCATTTGATTCATTAAGCTCTGTCCTAGGACATTATTTTGAACTTGGATTATGGATTTATAATATAGTCAAACAAGATGAAAAAAAAAAGTCATTCTATACATAACAATATAATACAGTAGTACCTGAACAAGATGTAAGGAAACTTTTGACCACTTTGTAGGTTGTCTAATAATAGTACTCCGTAAGATCTTATAGAAATGCTTTATGATTCAATGCTCCTCAACTTTAAATCACAATTAAGGACTTGTTTGGTTCACCTTATTTTTACTGATCTGATCTGGTTTGATCTGATTGTCTGATTTGACCAAACTTTGACCTTAAGTGTACAATCTATAAGGAAAAAATGTATCAAGTGGGATCTTGTTAGATTCGTAATAATGTGTAGATTATTAATATGTAATTTTCACAATTTTTTTCATTACGAAATTAAGAATATTTAGCGATAAAAAACCGCACATAAAACGATGTTCTGATCTGAACTAATTTTTCTAAAATAAGTAAAAATAAGTTGAACTAAACAAGACCTAAGTGTGTTTGGATAGAGAAAGAGAAATGAAAAGAAGGGGAGGGAGGGGTAGAATAATGTGTTTTCCTTTCAAATCTCTCTATTGTTGGAGAGATTAATTACTTCAATTTATTCCCTCCATTTCTCTCCCCCTCCAATTCTCTTCTACCTTCATTTGTTATCCAAATGAAAGATAATTCATTCCTCCATTTCCCTTCCCTTCCCTTCCCTTATTTTCCATCCATTTCCTTCAATCCAAACAAAGTGTAAACATTTACGAGATTAGCTAAGTAACTACAAGTAATTCATAATTGAAGTGAGTTTAATCATCAATCTGTACTTGATCTCATTCAATTATATTAAATGAGCTTAACATGAACATGGTTATACTCGAAAATATTCCAGCAAGTATTAGTTATAGGTTTTACCAAAAAAATTTAACCTTATAGCCTCCAACAAACGGTACTTTTGAAAAACCATCCTTGGTCAAGGATAATGTGTGTATAGCCTCAGCTGCTCAACATAATATCTCAAAACCGAGTAATGTACAACAAAAATATTGCGAAGGATGAGATAGGGAACCATTGGGCAAGGATCCTAAATAAATATAAAATTATCAAATTTCTGTATTTCGAGACATCATCATGTTTATCCTTATCTTAGTGAATTTCTGGTATTGCTCACTCAACCATCTCCTGTCTAAATTCTACTCCGTACCTAATATAACTCAATAGGATGCTTTCAAAGAATACAAATACTGAAAATTGAGAGTATGAGACTAATCAGCTTTTACCATCTCAACATCTTGATTAACCAGAGGCTTTTCTTCTGAAACATAATTTATTTCTGTAGCTGCAGCCTGAGTAAAAGACTGTGGTGCAGGTGTAGTTTCAGCCCCTGAAAAGGGTGTTCTTGGTTGGGTACCACTAGGGTCTACATCCAAAGTGGAACTCCTTGGAGGTGATAGTGGTTCGATCTCAACATCTGGATATGCAGCTTTAAACCTAGCTCTTAGTCCTTCATCTACCAAGCGATTTCCACTGAGCTGATTTCCAAGTGACAACCACCTACATTCCAAATTGAAACTATTTGTCAAAAAGATAGCAGGCAGTAATGTTGTAAGCTGAAAAGTATTAAAACCACAAGCTAGCAAATTCATTGACTGAGATCAGGCAGCTGAAAAGTATGGAATCATGTTCTACACACTGTTTTCGGGAGTGAGATCCCATGATCAGAGGGGATACATGGGATTGGATCATGTTACTGAATCTAGTCTTCATAGATTGTACAAATTCACTAGAAAATGCTGATCCAGAACATCACTAATAATTTTTTTTTCTGAATATCGAGAATACTAACATGCACAAATGTACAGATTGAATTGTTTTTCCTTCTATTATTGAAATTGAAAAGATACTGTAATTATCTACCAAACTAAGCCTATTCCCCAATACTCCAATAATGTATTCCAATAACGTGCTTCAAGAAAACATCTGTTGACTGCTGATCAACCGACTATTGTATATACACATCACAATAAATAAGATGCACTTTTCATCACATATAACAAAAGCTCAGTAGACTAAGAAGTTACCCAGCATGAGTATTATGCATCCGAGCAAAGAGTTCCAGTTTTCTTGTCCTTGGACTTATCCTCTCAAGCAATGGATACATCTGCATATATATCACATATTAAAACATAAAAGCACAAAAATAATATGAAATCTGACAAGTTAGTCACAATTCACATCAAAATTACCTCATCTGGTTTACGACTAGTCTCCCGAACCTCTGCTACAAGTACATCAGTGTCAATGTTCCTATTGACCTCGGGGTTTCCTTTTATTCCAACAAGGCAATGTTCTTTGCTGTGATTAAGCCAATGACCTGTCCGGCCCGTTCTAATAATTCTCTGAAGTTGATTAGTCTTCACCCAAATTATCTCTTCAACACGTCTATAGCCCCACAGGTCCAAACTGCAAGAAGATTTAATGGATCAGCTGTTTGCAGTGAGCAGTGCAAGATAACATGTAAATATCAAGAGTCTTTGGGCAAAGATTCCAACACTTGGACTGATTTAAGGATTAATTAAAAAATAAATAAAAATAAATAAATCTCCCTAGAATTCTCATTAGATCCTATTATACTGCATTACAATCAAGATTTCAACTATAACTCTGCCCATATGGAAAGACTTACTCTTCCAAGGCTCTATTTAACAAAACTAGATGGAAAGCTGAAAGCTGAAAATGTAGCCAAACTTTTGCTAAATGAAAGCTGTTGCACTAGCTGAAAAGAGTGTTACTCTTTTCATTTTTTTCAAATGCATAAATCCACCCCCAGCCTTAACTCTGCTACACTGATAACAGGGAGGTTGTTATTGATTGACCTATAGTCCCATGGAGTGCAATTGTCTACTACTCCACAATGAATAATAAGTGTAGACAAAATGGACATAAATATTTATATAAAGATGAGGATTGAAATGAAACAAACTATGCTAACTAAAATTTTAAAAGCTACCGAAGCAGCAAATTCATGTAAATTTGTTTTACTATACATATATCTTATCCACTCACAATATCTTATTTGGTTAAATAATTCAAGTGCATACATGACACAGCTACAAATCAGAAAAGAAAAGCGGTCAAATGGATGATGTTGGCCATCATTGTTTCCATCCTAGCCAAAAAAAGACAAAATCCACAGAACTAATCCAATCACATTATGAGTAACAAAATATCCTTTAGCATAAACTAAACCTTCTGATAAGAAAAGAAAAGCTAAAGTACAAATAAAATAATACGAGCAACTTGACCACATGAAGCAACATCAATCCATCAATATGGTGGGGGAAAAACGGGTACATACCATTCACGACCAAGTTCCATTGCACGTCCGGTGACCCATAAAAATATCAAACCATCAGTTTGCAGTGCAGGAACATTAAGAGTACGCATTTCATCATCAGCCATTGTCCCGTATGGCAACTCCATATGAATATCCCATGGAGGATCAGCCATGATAACTCCAAATTGTCCCAAAATGTCCATTCTAAAATTCCGGATATCACAATTGATCCACTGTGGTTCACCAAGTTCTACTGCTGAACAATAATGTGCTCGCTGAGCCTTTAATGGCTTGGATGGAGGAAGAGCTGCAGTCCCCATCATCATTGGTGACACATCTGGAGTTGGGTCGAGCTCATAGTGAACATATTTGCACGTCTGGAACAAAAACCAGGTACAGTTAACATGAGCTCTAATCTACAAAAACTTGGAAGGCGAGGAGTGAAGAGATTTACCTTCATGTGTCGGCATGTATCAAGGAAAGAGCAATCTCCCAAATTGATATCTGTGTGTGGAGCAATTATTCGCCTAAAATGAACCTGAGAAACACTCAAATAGAATAGAGGATTAAAAACTGTTGATGTACGGGTTAATAACATGTCACATGGCAAACAAAAGTCAGAAATCCGTCAAAGAGATAACATACAGCAACAATACATGAGGATAGTATTTTTATTATTTATGCGTAGATAGGAAATCAATATATTCTTGAGGAACATTAAATAGAACTATATTGTGTCAAAGATAAACTAGCACTGTTCTACTTTCACTAATCCTTTTACACCTCTTTAAATTTTTTTTTGTGTATGGTTTTTTAGAAACAACCACACAGCAGTTAGGGTGCACTCCTTTTGTTTTAAACCTCAATAATCTCAGCTAAGAACATCAGAACTGAATTCATTAGCCTCAACTGAACTCATTTTAACTGATCTAACTCGTACCCAGCTGTAAAAGGAACTTATTAACCTGAACTGAATCACTCAAAACTAATAAATTCTATTAAAAAATCACCAGACCTGAAACTCGACATTTTTAAAATGAAAATAAAGTCTACATCAAGGTAGGGTGCATTAATTTAGACCACAGCTATAATGTTCCAAGACTTCCAACCTATGCCTATGTGTGAATATGCGTGTCTGTCATAGTTCTTTGGGAGTTGGCTTAGCCTCAAGGATAGATGTTAATAACAACTACAGCATCTGTTGAGTTACGCAACTAGAAGGGGTTTAGTACTTCATTGGGCGCTGATTTAGTTGGCCAAGCCTCAAGCAGTAACATGTGTTGAGTTACACAATAGGAGGAGAAAAAGGGGGGGGGGGGGGAGGAGGGAGGAGGTTGTTCAACCTTGGGATAGCTAGCAATAGATTCATAAGAAACATTAACACTAGCTTGGGTCGGCTATACATCTCAAGGAGTTTGTGACACAAACTATACAGCAGCAGTGCAACACAGGCTGCACAGCAATCAAATAAATTGGACACAAAGCATGAAACTACAAGTACCTTTTCACATGCAATGTACGATCCAGATTTTTGTCGACAGTCCTCTTTTGTCAAAGATGCACAGTACTCCTTAAGTTGAGGCCCACCTTTTGTCTTAAACTGAAACAAAACATCAATAACCACACATTCATGAGTCAACCAACAAGGAAACTTTGTAATTAGAAGTCAGGATTATTGACACAGAAAAAGAAATAACTGCACAGAAGTTACACTAACATAGAGAGCATAGATCTTAAGGCTTAGAAAAAGGTCTGGTATCAGATTCCTAGTGCAGCACAGTAAAGCTTAACATACAAGCATTACAATATGCTTAAAAAAGGGCGTTTTCATCTAAGAGGCATAGGAAAAAAAAAATAGATAGCAATGTTTAGAGAAACCTTGCAATAAAGGAAAGTTCAGCATATAGACTTTAAGTAATAAATTACAAGGAAAATGTCAAGCCAATGTTCATGGCAATGGTCTTCATATCCCAAAAAAGTGTTTTACTTCATAAAATTTCATTGCCACTAACTTATAATCTCATAGTGACACAATATGTTACAGAACTTAGTTATGGTGTATTGAGCACCATAGCACTAGACAAGATGTTTCTGTGTCTACATCACAATACCTGAGTAATACATCATAAAGGCCAGGGGTGCATAATAATACCATCCATGCTTAATAGCTACTACACTAGTAATCAAGTGATACACAATATCATGCATACTGTGGGCAAACAACGACCTATATAGTCTTACACATAAGTGTTAAGTTGTTGGATGAATGCCCTGGGTGGCTGCATAGGTCATAGGGGCATGAGATTTCACAACTCACAAATATAATCAATAAGCTGCCAAATTCTAACAATTCAGATCATATAGTTTAAAATTTTACATCTTTATACATTCTATACTTTTCAAGTGCATCTGCAAGTTCGAGTGTACAATAAACTCACGCTCATCATCCCTATAGTCTAGGCTTCAAAATGATGCGATAAAATGCTCCATAATCAAGCATGTAAGCAATAAGAACAATCTAAACCATAAATGCAAAAGTAAAAATATATCCACATAACAAGTAAAAATCAAATATACCTTGGCAGCCACGGCGGTTTCTTTAGCAGTAGGGCGGTGAATGAGGTCTAAGAGCTCCTCTCCAGTCTTAGACTTCTGCATTTCCTTAAAAGACTTCTTATTCAATAATGCTTCAAGATCCTTCATTACTTCCTCCTCCGAAACCTGCTTGACAGGCACGCCGATATTACCCCCGCCCATCGGTGCATTCGGCCCAAAAGGCGGCCTATGCTGGGGTGGCACACCCATCCCTCTATGCATCCCCATCATTCCCATCCCCCTAGGACCACCACCACCTCTATGACCCATCATCTGCCCCGGAAACATCGGCGGCATACCCTGCATATGAGGATCACCCGGCCACATTTCCGGCATCCCAGACCTCGGCATTCCCCTAAACATCGCCGCACCCTCCTCGCCGCCCTCACCAGGACCATCACTAACCACAACTTTATTAGCTTCAACAATGTCATCACCCTCAGGCAACTCTCTAGCAAGCCTAACACTATCAATATTCATAACCATAACCCCAGATTTCCCACTTACCCCAAATTCATCCAATTCAACACCTCTATTATCCTCCGCCATTGACCTCAACGCAACCTCAACCGCGCAAATCGCACCCGACTCACCACCAACATCGCGCAACGCCGCCTTCTCCACCGTCGTCACTTTCGGACAATTCTCCAACTTCCGAAGCACCGTCGACGAGTCAATCGCATCCCACGGCTTCCTCTCCAACAAACACCGCGCAACCATCGAACGAACCACCGACAACGGACTTCCAGAAGCATCATCTTCCCGGCGAGCTGGAGGGTCCGATTTCAGGACCCGTTTAGGCGGCGGTTTGGCCCGATTATCAAGAGGGTGTTTTTTGAGGTGAAGGGGGCGAGGAGTTGTGGGGTTAGGGTTTGGGGGAGGAGAGAGAGGGGTGAAAGGGCGATGATTGAAGGTGGAGATTACTTGAAGAGAGAGATTGAGAGAAGAAACGAGGTCAGGAACTAGGGTTTGGAGTGAAGCAATGAGATCTTGTTGTTCTTTGTGACGAGTTTCGATGCGAGCTTCGAGCTGTTGGCGCATCTCTTTAATGGCGGATATGTCGTCGCTGGAAGTGCTCTCTGCTTGCGTTTCCATTGTTGCTGCTCTCGTAGTCTCACTGTAACGGTGTAACCTGGATGGCTGGATGAGGTTTTACTTCTTTTTATCAGTGAAGAACAATTGAACATAAACCCACTATTCCACTAACATGTTTTGCGGGAGGCTATACTTTTCTACCGCGGACCACAACATCGTTTTAAACTTTTAACTAACAAGTGCTTAGAGCCTTAGATTAGCTAATAAGGGAATCGCTCTAACTTAATTAAGGTATCGTGTTCGAAATTTAGGAACGCGATAATACTTGTTGGGAGAGCTTTCCCCCTAATTACGTCTGACCCAACTTGAATCCAGATTAGTCGGAGTCTAGTAGACTCTGAATTACTAGATATGTTTACATAAAAACACACTACAACCATATGGTTTTCTCAAGCTACAACTTAACCCCTGCATTGGTCACATACAAATTACTATTTTATAACATCCTAATACAATTGCACCAAAATACGAATATTAGATGCCAAAACTCTTTAGTAATAACAAACTCTTTTACCCACATCTTATTTCAAATGTTGTAAAAAACCAACTTTTGAATATACAGTAAGAATATTGCTTCACTAATGAAATTACAAAGAATCAATATTTTCTTACAATTTACAATGTACATGAGACTAGCGGTATACAACAGGACAACCTTGAACCATAACACCTTTCTCAGTTGGACAAGATGCATAAGGGCACCCATCAAGATCATTTCCCCACCAGCTAAGACTCACCTCCTCCAACCCCAAGCAAAGGTACAATGCCACCCCCATAAAAGCTAGACCAGCATCTAGAGCACCCGATAGCAAATAGTTATGGCGCTGCCACCAGTCAGGAGCATACCTAAACGCGACATATCCAGATAGGAAACCTACAAGAATCCATGTAGTGTAGTTCACTGCAGTTGCTGGTGGCATCATTCCTGTTGCAGCGATTAGGACAGGCATGTTGATAAGCCTAATCCATTTTTGGTTAGGAAAGGCCTTAGTAGCCAACCAAACAAAAACTGGAGCAATGGCTCCTCCTAAGAAAAACCAATTAATTGCCTCATAGATGCCTTCATCTCCAAAGATCCTGCGCGGTCCAACCAAACCCCATATGACTGAGGCATCGTAGAACACTGTGTCACTAGGGCATGTCCACACGGTATTTGTAGCAGTTTTTTCACAAATATCCGGGATAGTTTCCATTAGCCACCAGGCCGTGCCAAGATAGACAAAGGCAGAGATGAGAGTTCCGACTACCTGAATTACAATACAAGTACAGATTAGAGTACCTATTCACTAATTCAGAATACCTAAATTAAGAATTCAAATACAGAATATAGTATGTATTATATACTCACTACCTAATTGAGATTACATATAGTTATGCTATAGGAAGAAAATTTACCTGTGCCATGAACATTGTTCTAGGAGGAATTTTCATATAGTGGCCAAGTTTGAAGTCTTGCAGGAAGGCAATAGCTTGAGTCATACTAATGTAGCCATAAACCTTGAAGCACATATTTGCCACCGGGTATCCAGGGTAGATGTATCCGATAATATACTCCGTGATGATGTTCAAACCAGGACTCTGTGCATTGTTGATCATTTAGAATCAAAACTTGAAAAAAATTACTACTCCTTACATCCAGAACATATCACATTTACGATTTTAGAATGACCCAGAAATATGTAATTAATGCCTTGATGGGTAGAAAATAAAAATGACACTTAACACAACTATTACAAAGGACAATGTGACAACTAATTATGGATGGAGGCCAGGTATTATGTATTCCATATATATGCTATGACTCTTGTGAGCAAAGCATTTCCAATTAAATAATTGTTGTGTTTCAGATACATTATGTTACCTCGGAGGCCAGGTATTATGTATTCCGTATAATATATGTTACGACTCTTGTGAGCAGAGCATTTCCAATACTGTATAAATAAGGTCACGATGAACATACATTATACAGCTTATAAAATGAATGTATACCTGATTTGTGATGGCAGTTAAAATTCCAATAGGAAGTGTGAAGATGAAGGCAATGCCGCAAGCAAGCAAGACACCCCACCATGGAAGTTGGAGCTGATCTTTGTAATACTCACAAGCAAATATGGTAGCTGCAATATTAACCACCAAAATAACCCAAAACCACCATTCGGGAGCTTCCTTGTACCTTGCCATCAACTTTGTATGTATGTCCCTTTTCTTGTCTTTAAAACTTGCTCTGCTTTGATCCCATATTTCCCTATATTTTGTGTATAAATGAGCATATATTGTTTCACTTTAGTACTCTCTTTGTCGAAATATGTCACAAACTCACTCTATCTCAATCTCTTATAATACACACCTTAATATAATTATGAAACTCTACCATTTGCAGTAGTTGCATACCAAAAAAATTCATTCATGAGCTAATTCTCTTAGGAAATCTGACAAGACTGGCAACTTGTTTCGAACATCATCATACAATATGCTCTATACATGACTATTAACTTTCGATGAATTAAGTATTTGTAATGTAGCAAAAATTTACAAAATATGTACATACCTGCCATGGAAGAGCGCGACATGTACAATAGTAGCACTTAATGCGGCGAAACCAACTCCATAAGTCATAGCAAAGAAGGTGCTAAGGTAAAGAGGACCTTGTTTGGCATAAGCTTCTTGGTTGATATGAAAATTGGAGTCTACTATAGCAGAAATATTGTATACTGATCCTGATGCTGTGAAAAGACTATCTGAAAATATAGGAAAAGTCTTTGCTTTGTAAAAGTTAAACCAGTAGCTAATTGGAGTAAGCACATACATTACAAGCACAAATCCAGCTGACACATTGGCAGTGGCAAACCATGGGCTTGCAAGTGGGCTTCCAAGGTAGGATGAGATTGTGGACCAGTCTAGCCCAAATGCTGTGATTCCAAGCCCATATAGACCGGATCCTAGCTGTTGGGCTAGAATGGATTTGGGCCAAAACCAGCATATCCAAGAAAGGGAGGTTAGCATTTGAAAGAGGTAGCCTGGAAAGACATAGTATGCAAAGCTGCAAGTAAAGGCTATTAGGAAGAATTGTGTTCGAGTCAGACCGCCTTTGGACCGTTCTTCTTTCTCGTGTAATGCCCTGTTGCATAGCTTTGTGTATATTAGCTAATAAAATGTGAATAGATCATATTCTTAAAGAGTTACCTTGTGAATAGATCATATTGTTAAAGAGACTAAAGAGTTAGGTTTAATCCAAACATCTAACTTATTCTTTAAATTCTGGTCATGTTAAAGCAACAATATAATCTTACAAAATATTTTGGAACTAATGTAACTAACACTCTAGCAAGATTAGACATCATTTTGTTGTGAAGAAGTTGAAGTGGCTTGTGAAAGTGGATCTTTGTTGATTGCAAGCCAATGGGAAGCAACTAGACAAATTGCATGATTGTCAGAATTTTTTTAACTCGCAAGGGCCCATTTATCGTAGTACACGAACACGTGATTCACATAGACATGCACTGGCCAAACTTGTTTGGGCCAAATATGGACTACACTACGTATTTTAGACTACTTCGTACCTCATCAAAAAAAATACTTCAATAATAAAATATAATCACATGAAATATCATTGTTCTATAGCTCTTGTATTAGTAGTAAACCGGTACTTTGTAGTTTGTACTAACCCTGTTTTGCAATATATGCATTGTTTTAACTTTTTACACTATTAATTTATTAACTTTAATTGATTTTTTTTTTATTAATGCATATATGCAAAATTAATGGTGAAAATTGAAGTTTGACAAAGTGAAAAAGTCAAAACATTACATCTACTGTGAAACCGATATAATACTCTGTATATCACATTTTCAGAATATAAATGGTGACGCATTGGCTATAATGGCAAAATACTTAAACATTTATATAGAAGTATATGTCAAAATCTATGACTAATAATAGCGTGTAACATTATAAAATTCAACCCAAGTAGTTGGCATATAATTTACCTGAATAGGGAAACTTGGACAAGATTGGCAGGCCACCACATTTCAGCCGGCTCAACCAAGTAACGCCGGAAAATTCCAGCCCATCCAAATCCCAACACCTACCAATCATAAAAAAGATGAGCATCAAACCACAATCTTACTAATTAATCATACTATCAATTATTTCTTCTGTCTTGTATTAATCACATTTAATTATAACAAGTTACGTATTATAATATATAACAAGCAAGTTGAACAATTATCAAAAACATGTTGCAATTTATAAGAAATGGGATAAGTGTCACTTAAGTTTATCTACTACAAATTACAGAATAAATGTATTTACCTGAGTGGTAAGAATAACGATCAAGGAAACAAAGAATGTAATTTGTTTCTTGTAAAATATCTTAACAACGGTAACAACATGTATAGCATAAACACTTCCAGCACCAGCATTTGCAAAGATGGTAATAAGCACATGTTCCTTGACATTAAAAGGGCCCGGATTTAATGAGAACTCCCAACGCGTCCCTTGCAGCATCGGGCGGCTAGGCAACCTAGACGCCATCCACTGACCGAGAGGGACGACGGCTATTTGAGCCGAGATTGCGGTTATACTAAGAGGCTCCTTACGGTACCAGAAAAACTGGTTTAAAAACGAGAGTACAACACAAGATAACGTCCCTAGGGCCCACATTCTAAAGGTTAACACCGGGAGGTCCGGATCGTCTGTGGTTGGGACCGTCATCGCCACCTGCTCCACCGGCGAATTCTCTTCCTTTGATGATAGTAAGGGATCATGTACTCGTCTTTGACTTTCTTCTCCCTCATCTTCTTGTATCTTATCTTCTACTGATGAAACTACCAAATGACAACAAAAAAAAAAAAAAAAGTCAAATATTTTGATCGAATAAATAAACCAACAAGTATAAAGACGAGAAAAGATGGTAATTACTTAAGGGGGTGTGAATGTTTGGATCTTCCATATGTGTGTGGCAAGCTAACTTGGTAGCTTGCAGTTTTTATCTTAAATTTGTTTCTTGGTTGTTGATAGAGTAGAGATGTGGTAGGGATATTATTATTGGAGTAGTTTTGGATATTTTGTTGTAATCAGAGAAATGCCAAAATTGATGCAATTACTATAATTATTGAAACTTGAAAGAGCATGAGTATAATTATTGCCTGTAATTTGACATAAATGATGGAAAGAGGTTAGATGAGGGCTGTTCTTCAGGGTGCATGTTGTCCCACGTGACATTTAAGGATTGACAAATCTCATTTTTAACTACTGTAGAATCTTTTAGGGGTGTTTCGTTTGGTAAAAAGGTATAAAGTGTGAAAATGATTGTTGATTTTCTTACCTTATACAAATTACGAGTAAGCTTATACTGGTTAGAATTACCATCTTCCCCGTCATCTTTAAATACTTGACTAATTAATACGGAGTAAATAACATTTTCATGGTAAAACATATAATGGTGGTTTGATTGCACATTTGAACTTCACATCCCCATATTTTTAATCTTGGTGTTGGTTAATTGGGGTCATTGTCTCCGTCTCGTGGTTTTTTGTTACTCTTGATCATGTCAAATTGTGTAGTACAATTCTCTCTTAATCTTTTATAGGATTTAACTTTATCTTTGTTATTATATTAATATGGGATACTTATGTATTGTTCAATATTTTTATTATATAATATATATATATATATATATATATATATATATATTCCTTTTTAATTAGGTCACATGTGATGAATCTTAAAGCTAGCTAGAGTGCATCTTCAGCACTCTCTTACATTGATTTAATCTACTTTGGTCCAGATTAAAGTATTAAGGTTAGTAAAGATTTCACATGTGATGAATCTTAAGGCTAGCTAGAGTGCAACTTCAGCACTCCCTTACATTGATTTAATCTACTTTGGTCCAGATTAAAGTATTAAGGTCAGTAAAGATTTCAACAAACTAAGGATTTGCCTCTAATACTATGTCAGATATCAACTATTAATTTAATTTGATGGTTAAAGTGTTAGGCCGTATAATGTATTTATTTAGCTAATTGTGTAATGTATAGTTAGCTCTTTGGGCTACGTAGTATTAAGCCCAATTTAGTTTGTATATATATATTCTTCTCTACAGTAATACAAACCACGGAAAATCATTTCCTAGCATAAAGTAATAGAATTATTTAATTTAAATTCAATAAAACTTAGTACTTCTTCCGTTTTTTTATTGCACCATGTTTGTCAATGCATGAATTTGATGATTAATATCTTTAAATTATATTTTAGTGAAAATTATAAAAAAGTTGATATTCCTTTCTTTTAAAAAGTGTGAGAAAACATTTATGAATAGTGAGAATAAATCTCTAAAATGTTTACTTACCTATATGCCCCTATTGATATGATGTCAATTGTCTTTAAGCTTTTCCTTACATATAATGATTTAACTCTTGTGAATAATGTTTGTACAACTATATCCTCTAAAATTTTTATTTACTTATTTACCATCATTAATGTTATTTAATTGTTTTTTTAAAACTCTTAAAAATACTATGCGTACATTTCCCTCATCATGTTGCCAACAACTGAAAGAGCTTTTAGGCCAGAAAATGGCTAGCTATGACGCGCACATTAGCTACCCTAGTTTACAAAGTATATATCGAGACGCATTTAACTAGATCACAAATGACTATGTTTTTTTAAGGATAAATATAATCACAAAAGTTGGTTAAAAATATTACGCAAATAGTGTAAAAGTTTAAATGGTACAATAAGAAAAAAAAAAAAAAAAAAAAAAAAAAAAAAGGAATAACTATTATTAATGAATCGTGTATCCAACTAAGCTTAGAATGAGTGCACTCAACAACCACCCCTGGCCTGTGGCCTCCATCCCAAAGAGGAAAAATTAATACTCCGTATGAAAAGATTGAAAACTAAGGATGAATATAATAAGGAAACTTAAAATAATCTTAGTATCTTTTTCTTCAAGACATTATTGGATCTGTAGAAAATGTTCCAAACATGTAAAATTTACACTAACTAGCAAAATTTTAAAAAATACAGAATATAATTGGGCAAATTGGCAGTACGTGGCCATGGGGTAAGGTTTCCCATCAATGAGAATGAAAGTATCAATGAATTTGTTGAAGACCATTCGATTATAAGATATTATGATAAGGTTGACACAAATTAAATGGTACATTAACTTTTTAAATTAACCTTGTCCTTACCCCACTGCTACCGTGCTACGTCCCAAAGGGAATCTAAATTAATCTGGATTCTAAATCACACATATCACCGTGACTCATCAGTATCTTGAATCTAGTATAGTACAGTAGTATCTACTCTCTTGAAGTCTATTCACTACACGTCTCTTTCGCCTTATCATATATAGAGTGTTTTCTTGTTATTTACTTCTTAATGATTTGCTGTTTCAAAAAATTGTAGTTTATAAATTTTTATATGTGACTGGCTATACGGTATAATCGAAATTACTTATCAAGGGGTTATTCGGTCGGGGTTACTCCATTAGGAGTTACTTACTTGGTCAGATTAAGGGTTATTCAGTCGGTCAGAGGTTACCCGATCAGTGTTTTGATGTGTGTCAACTAGCCACACAGAAAACACGTTGTTATATAACGAAATTATTGTGTACATTTTAATTAGCTAAAAAAAATGCGTGCAAAATGCTTGTATAGAATATATTAGCTTACAGTAGGACAACCTAAAACAACAACTCCTTTCTGTGTAGGACAAGAAGCATAAGGACATCCATCAAGGTCATTTCCCCACCAATTAAGACTATGATCTTCAGACCCTAAGCAAAGATACAATGCTACACCCATAAAGGCTAAGCAAGCATCAAGCGCGCCCGAAAGAAAATAGTTATGGCGCTTCCACCATTCAGGAGCATACCTAAATGTTACATATCCAGACAGGAATCCTACAAGTATCCATGTGCAGTAATTCACTGCAGTTGCTGGTGGCATGGAAGCCGTGGCGCCGATTAAGATAGGCATGTTGATAAGCCTAATCCATTCTTGGTTAGGAAAGGCCTTAGTAGCCAACCAAACTACAATTGGAGCTATTGCTCCTCCTAGGAAAAACCAATTGACAGCTCCATATATGCCTTCATCTCCGAATATCTTTCGTGGTCCGACTAAGCCCCATATGACCGAGGCATCATAGAACACTGTGTCGCCTGGACAAGTCCACACGCTGTTTGATGAGGTATTTCTATCACATATATCTGGAATGGTTTCCATTAGCCACCATGTTAAATTAGGTTTAAAGTATTCTCTGTATTTCACATTCATATAAACGGCCACATACAAAAGTATATATAGAGTGGGATACTTGGAGGGCAAGGCCAAGATAACCTAAAGATAATCACAAAATATATTCACAATATTTATCTTCCTAATACCCCCCCTCAAGTTGGAGAGTACGGATCTCGGACACCCAACTTGCGAAGTAGAAACTCAAATTTAGCTTTTCCCAAAGCTTTTGTAAAAATGTCAGCCAACTGAATCGTCGTAGGAACATACGAAGGTATAATCATCCCATCTGTAATTGCATCTCGAACAAAATGACAATCCGACTCAATGTGTTTTGTTCGCTCATGAAACACTGGATTCTGCGCAATATACAATGCAGACTGACTATCACAATAAAGTTGCATCCCATTCTCATGTCGAATACCTAAATCTCCAAGTAGGCGCTTCAACCACTTTAATTCACAAGTCGTTGCATTCATACAACGATATTCTGCTTCTGACGAAGAAAGAGCCACCGTAGGCTGCTTCTTGGTTTTCCATGACACTGGAGACAAGCCAAGAAGCACAAACCAACCACTTAAGGATCATCTGGAGAGTGGACAACCTGCCCAATCTGAATCACACCAACCTTCTAACTGTAATGCACTATCAGATCTCAATAAAATACCCTGTCCCGGGCTTTTCTTTAAATATCTAACAACTCGCAAAGCTGCTTCCCAATGATCAATCCTGGGTTTCTGCATAAACTGTGACAAAATGTGTACAGAATATGCTAAATCGGGTCTCGTAACAGACAGATAAATTAGTCGCCCTATGAGGCGACGATATTTCTCAATGTCATGAAAATACTCTCCCTGGGATAATGCTAACTTGTGATTTTGTTCCATAGGGAACTCTGCAGGTTTAGCATCAAGCAAGCCAGCCTCAATAATTATATCCAGTGCATACTTCCTCTGGCAATAAAAAATCCCTGTTTATTCCGGGCTACCTCTAGCCCCAAAAAATATTTCAACACTCCAAGGTCTTTCATCTTGAAACAATCTCCCAAATATGATTTAAAACTGAGCATAGCATTTTTATCGTTGCCTGCAACAATTAAATCATCTACATATACCAACACATTAAGCTGAATTTTACCCTTTGTCAGAGTAAACAAAGAATAATCATAATATGACTGTTTAAAGCCATAATTTTTCAAAGCTGTAGCAAGCTTTGCAAACCAGCACCGAGGGGCTTGTTTAAGCCCGTACAACGATTTCTGCATCCTGCAAACTTTGTCAGAATTATCTTTCTCAAAACCAGGGGGAATTTTCATATATACATCTTCTTTCAAATCACCATGAAGAAATGCATTATGAACGTCCATTTGATGAACTTCCCAATTTTTCACTGCAGCTACTGCAAGAAAGGTTCTCACAGTCACCATTTTTGCCACCGGAGCAAATGTCTCGTTGTAGTCTAATCCTTCAACCTGATGATTGCCAAAGATTACTAATCTTGCTTTCAATCTCTGCAAATTCCCATGCTCATCGTATTTTTCTTTGTACACCCACTTGCTTCCAAGTGCCTTTTTACCCGGTGGTAGCTTCTCTAGTACCCAAGTACCCTGTTCTTCAAGTGCTTGTATCTCATCTGCCATTTCCTTCCTCCAACCCTCGTGTTTCATAGCCTCCTTGAAACTTTTGGGTTCATGTCCTCCTGTAATGGCAGCAATATATGTTCTATGCTTCACAGAAAACCGGTGAGAATCAATAAAATGTGTTATAGGGTAAACAGTACCTGAGGAAAGTGATGTCGCAGGTGAACTCTGAGATAATGTAGATGGACTTATATTTCGGATCGTGTGTGTCACAAAGTCACGATGCTTCACATTTGGAAATTTCTGTCTCTTGCCTTTACCCAAGGCCTCGGTGTCCCTTGTTGCATTACAATCTATCTCACACTGCCCATTT